AGAGAGAGAGAGAGAGAGAGATAAAAATTCATCACAGCTCAAAGCAAATGACTCTTCTGTATTTATCTATAGTTGCTTACATTGAAAGTGGTTTCTACCATTATTGGCTAAGAAATTTGAATCACATACAGTGCATAATAAAACATGAAACCAAGAAATTAATAGCCATGTGCTATAAAAATTTTTAATGAATTTTTTTCTGCCACTAATAAGGGACATTTTTGTACAGCATATATGGAATGTGCATTGTCTCTACCACCCCAATCTGGTTCTTGCTGTAGTAAGGATGTGCAGACTGGTCTCTGACCTGCCTTTGGATGACATTGCAGCATGATTCCTTGTCTGTGTCTATATTTCTGTATCTCCAGATTTCCAATTAAAACTCAATTCTCTTTGAAAATCCTATTCATGAATGGGGAAGTGTAAATAGACTATGATCTGGGAGGACTACACATTGCCATCAATTTTGGGAATATCTTAGGTCATAGGTACTGGGTCTAGTGTGTTGTATTGCAGGTACAGATTTGCACATTTTTATGTGTGAGCTACAGCCACCTCCAAAGTAATGTTTGCACTTCAACCAGAAAAGGACTACTCTGTCAGTGCTGTCTATGCAAAGCGGCAGCAGTATTTGGCAGAAGTGGATATACAGTATGTAATTTTTATCTCTCAGAGGATCCTATACAAGTAAACTTGCTACGGAGGCCACTTCCTTCACCTCACCACCTGTGTGGCTACAACCCTTTTATGGATCTTCTTCCCCCATGAGTGCCTTTTCACTTGATCCTCTGCAAGGAAAGGTGTTGCAAAGACTGTTCCCTATCATCCCCACACACATAAAGACAGAGAGAGACTTCATGGATCCTCTCCTCCCACTGTGACTGCCCAAAGGGTGGTTCAGAGGCCATTCCTTGTCAGCTCTTCCCTGCTGGGATCTGAGCATTGCAAAGATGTTGTAAAGATAATTTTTGATTTTTGATTAAGCTGTCTGTGGATGAACTTAGGGTGTTGAAGTTTCAGGGCCTGTATTTAAATTAAAGTTCCAATGTGAATAAGGAAAGTTTCATGCAGGGATTTTATATCACTTTGCAAGTGGATCGAACCTACTGGATGGCTTTCTTTTTAGCACTGTGTTGTCATAAGCCTGATAGTAGCTTGTTTACAGTATGAAGCATTGGGAACTGGGTTAGCTGTTTCTTTGCATGTCATTAAGGGTTAGGTACTAGTGTCATACTTGATTCTGCCTTTTATTTGCTGCTTCGGGAAAGGCTAGACCAGAAGGCAATCCAAAACAAGCATGTTGGTTTGTTTCCATTTGTAGAAGCGAGAAAAACTCAGAAAATAGAATCCTCATTTCAAAGAAAGAGCAATGTTAGGAGATGGATGAAGACATCTGCCTGTCTTGGTGAAGAAAACTGGAAAACCTTTGTGGCCAGAGGGACTGAAAGGGCTAATGCCACAGAAACTGGGCTCTTCTGTCTCTGATGAAGTAGTTATGGCTACAGCTGAACAGGGAGATGGTTAAGGAAGGGAATCTACAGCCATCCAGTGAACTTGGTAGGAAGCTGATGTCTAGAGGTATCCCACTTAATATAATCAAGTTAAGCAACCCGAAGCTGGGGGGCACCCTAGAGTTTTATTGTTGGCATTGTTCAAGTGACTCTTACGTACCTATTTCCTGTAGATCATCCAGGGTTAGGTTGTGAGTTTAGCTGCTTCATGGCCACACTGCTTTCTAAAGTATTTTCTGCCTCCCCCATTTCACTTGGGTTTACCTGGCCTGCAAAATATCCAGTTTCTCTCTGTGAATTATTGTTAATTACTCCATGGATACTGGATAGGAACTGATGCCATTCTCTTGCAGGATTCCTTATCAGCACATAGAAAAATCTTTACTGCTTCATGTGCAAGGTTACGTTCGGCAGTCCTGTGCTCCTTGTGCCTGAAGTGTTATCCTCTGCAGGATATGTTGCTCTTGGAACATTAACACTCTTAACTGATCTCTTTCAAATGGTTATGTAAAATGCCGTAAAATCAGCAAAGGGAATCTGAGACTGTCAGACATAATCTTGTGCAGGAAATTGACATGTGGGGGAGCGGTGGCAGAAAATCCAGTGCTCAACATTTCTGCTCCAGGAAATCTGGTCTCTGTGGGGTTCCTGAGGTATACTCTGTTAGAGGAAATGTCAGAAATTGCTCAGATTAAGAAAAAAATAGCCCTCATTAACCTCCATACATCTGCCTCCTCCTTGATGTTAAAGAAGTAAGCAGACAGGAGATTCTTGTTGGCAGAATAGTTAAAGTTACAATTAGAAAGACACTGGTTGGAACAGGTAGGTTTAATTTCAGTCAGATTGGTAAAGCCTGTAAAATAATAAACTATTATGCCAGCTGGGACAAAGTTTAACAGGAAACATAAATGTTCTCTTTCTCATTTTAAAGTCAAACAAACAAAAAACAAAGCTAGTTTCAAAGCAGCTTTAAAAATGGCTAGCTTCTTCAAAATCCAAATGTTTGTGGATTTATAAACTGCCTATCATTTGAATAAAACTGATTAACAAATGACAATGTTTGAGTGTAAAAATATATGCTGCTTTAGGTGGCTTTATTTGAAGTGTTGGCACACTGAAAATATATTATTTTTTCCTTCTATTTTTTGGTTTCTTTACAGAATGTCGTGTTATGAAATCATCCTACTCCCGTTCATCTGGGATGCAAAAGTATTCTGGATCTAAAAGTCCTGGACCTTCACGTAGAAGCAAATCACCTGCTTCAGGTACCCACTTTAACGGGGAAATGTGCATTTACAATTTATGGTATTTTTCTCTGTATAAGATGCCCCCATGTATAAGACACACACCCCAATTTTCTAACCCAAAATTCAGAAATCAATATTTTAAACATTAGAAAGGAACACATTTTTAGCAACTAGACAACATTTACATACCACTACTATGATATTATGCATCACACTTAGCTGAGCAAATCCCTTCATTCAGCCTCTTTTGCATAACTCAGTGATGGCGAACCTTGAGCCTGAGTGCCCAAACTACAACACAAAACCAACGTATATATTTCAAAGTGCCAACACAGCAATAAAACCTGAATACTGAGGCACTATCACTATCTCCCAGGGAAAAAATGATGAAACTGAGGTTGTCCTACTTGGGCACATATTGAAAAGACAGGATTATCTAGAAAAGACATTTCTAGAAAATCCTGTCTTTGTGGAAGGCAGCAGAAAAAGATGAAGGTGAAATATGAGATGGACAGACTCCCTAAATAAACCACAGGCTTGAGTTTGCAAGAGTTGAGCAGGGCACTTGAGGACAGGTCATTTTGGAGATTGTTGTTTCATAGGGTCACCATAAGTAAGAGGCAACCCGGAGCCAAAGAGGGTGGGCTTCAGAACTTGCACCCCACCACCCACACCTCTCCTTCCTTCCTTTCTCTGTAGTAGGGTCTCCCCCTTATTGCCAGGGGGAGGGATCAATCCCAAAGGAGGAGGAAACACCAGCAACCCCTCCCCCCTTCTCTCTGCCTCTTTCCCCTTCCTAGGGAGAAGGATGGTTATGAGCGCTTGGTCTGTGCCTCTTTCCCCTTCCTAGGGAGAAGAATGGTTATGAGCGCCTGGTCTCCAGAGAGGTTAGAGCTCTCCTCGGAACTGGAGACGCAATGCCTGGAGCAGCTCCGTCTCATGTCCGCTATGGAGGAACATGGGAAGGGGGGCATAGAGTGAAGAAACTGCTCCCCAAATCAGAGCGAGGCTAGAAGTTGCTAGAAATCCCTGTCACTGCTTTCCCCCTCCCAGGCTCTGCCCACCCAGCTCTCAGAGGCTCCCTCCCCTTAGTCGCTCACACACAAACAAAACACATTACGAGTCCCTGTTGTATCTGAGCACACCTTACAGCTCCACCTCCAACGAGGTGTGTTCCAATTGGTTTGTTAAGCATCAGGTGACATCAGTTACATAAGGCTCGTGACTGGAGGAAGGTAAGTATCCTGACTGGAGGCAGCTAAGCCTCTTGATTGAAGGAAGCCTGTTGGCAGAGGCAAGATATGGGCTGTTTTGTTCTCTACTCAGCTTAGTTCTATGTATAGGATGACCCTCAATTTTTAGTCTAAAGGTTTTAGACAAAAGGATTGCCTTATACATGGAAAAATAAGGTATTTTAAAATGTTTATGCCCCATCTTTTCTTAAATTCTAAATAGTTCTCCATAAATAAATATATACAATTTAAAAAATTCTTCTGTAGCATAAAACAAAAAGCAGTTACAAAAAGAATGTAACAAACGGGAGTAAAAAAAGTATTTTTAAAAACAAGGCTAATTAAAACAACATATAAGTTAGCACCTCTTTCATCTCCAAGGGAAAAATGGACAAAGGCTTCTAAGAAACGTCTCAGTATGCAAATAAGGTTATGTGGAAGGAAGCAGACTAATGTACCTTGTGAGGTATGCTAGGCCTGGAGACTTTAAGGAACAAAGGACTACAAATTGTGCTAGAAACTGAGAATCCAGTGATGGTTTTTGTGTTGTATGGCATTTTATCATACATCATAGCTAAAAAGCTGAGCTGCCATTGTCCTTTTTTCTCTTCCTGCTCAAAGTTTTGCCTCTCCATGGCCCCTCCTTCATGTTTATGATTGTAAACCCCCAGTGTAAATGATGCTCGACAGATGTCAAAAAAGAAAGGAAAAGAAAAGAAAAAAGTTTCTTCTCCCTAGTGAGGATTACATCAGAATCTTCAGAAGCAGAACTGAAAGATGAATAAGAATAAATATATACTTTTCTCTGAATAAAGGCACACTTTGGCTTAATCACTTCCTGCACTCTGCTTTTCTCTTCAAGGCCCACTGCTTCCATAATCCCTTTGTCTGTTTGTTCCATTGCCTCAACTCTCCCCCGCCCCCATGTCCCCACTCTACCTCATCTCCCACTTCGATTCTTGATTTTTGAGATCCTCTGCTTGACCTAAATTCTTGCTTACATCAAGTGATATTAAGTTTTGATTTAGTTATGTTTTGAACAATTGGGTAAAACTCGCATCGTTTTTTTTAAGTTTAGCGTTTTGTAGAAGTGATTTGCGCATAGGTGAATGTGTAACTAATTAGACTGAGGTCTGTTTATTGTTGAACAGCTTTCTGATTAAGCATCTGTCACCCATTGCTACCTTCTGCAGCTCTGGAATTTTAAAGTTTGCAAATAAATGAAAGCATAGGCATCCTATCAATTTACTTAGTCTGCATGTCGGAGAAACTTGGAAAGATAGGTTTGTTGGTTTTTATATAGAAAAGTCTTATGAGACCTTCTTCCAGATTGAAGATGGACAGTTTAGTCACTGATTATTCTAATAATAAGCAGTTTGATCCACTTTCCAACATGACCCAATATTGGTGAATGGCCTGAAGAAGTGGACATGATCCATAAAAGCTTGCTGATTGTTTGATTCTCTTTAGTGGTCTAATAAAGATATCTACTCCTGAATCTCCAGCTTGGCATCCTTACTTTTTCTTTTTAACAACTTGAGCACATTCATATGGTTTAGTTTTCCTGAATCTGCACTTATTAATACTTAGGTTGTTTGAAAGGGCTACACACACAAATAAACATGGGTCTACTACAAACCTTGTTGGAAAACGAAGTCTCCCTCCACCTTTTAAAACTTTACTTTCTTTTCATGTCTATGAATAACCTCTCTCCTGTCTTTTCCCATATTTTGTCAATTGAATGAACACAGTAAAGAGGAGTGGCCACTCCAGTGCTTACTCTTCAGCAAAATCCCCAGGTGAGCCATTGCAGTTATGGCTTTGTACCACCACCTTGTTGCCTACATTTTTATTTTGTCCCTCCCATTTCTGTCTACATATTACTTTGCACTGTACTGTTTTATGATTTGAAAAATCAAGGCATGGAGGTTTTACATTAGATCATAGAAGCTAAGAGTTTAAGAGATAGTTACATCTAATTCAGATATCTGTGGATAGCATGGTAAAGCTATTAAGGTATAAGCTCACCAGTGGACAGAAGTTGCTGGGCAATATGTTTTTAAATCCAATCAATACTGGCTGAGTAACAGAATTTCTGAAATTTGACAACTGTATGTAACCATAGATATAATTATAATTCAGAATTAAATAAAACATACTTTAAATCTGTACGTCTGCTTATTTTAAAAAGTTTACCAATGGTAATGCTTTAGTTAGAATAATGTATGAACTATTTAGTATTAACAGGTAATACTCAGCAACCATGTTTGACAATATCTGATGTACAGTGCAAATGTTCTAGTTTGCAATAGATGAAATGTAGTCAAAGCAAGCTCTTTTGTAGCATATATTGTAAGCATATATACTTACAGTATAAGTCAGCCCTGTAAATAAGCCTGCAAAAGATTATGCATTGCTAGACTTCTAAGATGCTAGCAAACTTTATTTCCACATTGGTGTTGGATGTGGAAGAAAGGAAGGCCTCCTTTCTTCCATGGCTAGCACAGAATGTTTGGGCTGTCTTCTGCTAGCCGCCTATAGCTTGTATGACATTTCTTGTCACCTCATGGAAGTTGGTAACCTTCATGCACCAGGATAAAATAATTTACACCATTTGAGTTATAGCCCATCTTTTGACCCCATCAAAAATTGCAGTGAAATTGACAGTTCTTTAACTTTAGACCTAAACATTTCTGATAAGAATTCCAGCATCCCCTGGAATGTGATTTTTATTCCACCTGAATTAGGAAGTCTACTCATAACCAGAACTTGTCATTTCTGCTTTGTTGCATTGCATTTTCCAAAGACTGGTATGGAATGGTTTTGTGCCAATATGTTATACTGGCTGTGGAAGGAGGTGAAATTATCCCAGTGGCAAAAAAAAAAAAAAACAGTAGATTTTTTTTGAGTCTATATTTTCTTCATGGTTCCTTTCTTTGTTTTAAAAAGATGTGCATAGTAAGTGACTGAAATTTGGGACAAACATTTACAGTTGTGCAGGTGATAATGTCACAGAATGTCTCTATTGTAGGTCTAGTTCTGTGTACATTCTGCAACAAGACATAACTCTAGCAATAAATGTCCTGTCCTGGTGCATGTGGGTTAAATACAAGGCTAGTATAAGCTGAAATTATTACAGATGTATGTGCCTGTATTGTGCCTGCATGGTCTATGTTCATCAGACATGGTTCTCAGAAATTGAGTATGCTGTACTGTTAGTTGTTCGGTGCAGGTGACTTGAACTTTTTAAAAATGGGTAAGTAATTCACAAGATAAAACCATGGTGCTTCATAAACATCACAGAAGAAAGATGGTTACTTGTAGGTCACTCTTGTGCAAACTTTACTGCAAGATAGTTGAATGTTAAGCTAAATTACTAGAAAGATATTTGCATTTGTTATGGTGGAATTTACAGCTCTTTTAAGTGCTGAGTAGAGTATCTGAGTTGGCTCTTGTCCTTATCTCTAGTAATGATGGCACTAAGAGTACCTCAGCCTCTCCTCCAATAGCTCTAAGAGCAGAAGATATTCTTTTGGGTTTGGTAGCTCCTTTACTCCAGCGGTTCAAGGATTTTGAGTTTTCTTATTGCAGAATTATTTCAGAGGTAAAACTGGCTTCAAAGAAGCAATGTTTGAGGAATGTTAAAAATACCAAAGAAGTAAAAAAGAATATGTATAAACATATTAAGGTCAAAACACTTCTTTGCTACAGATGCTCGAGTCACTGCTGAGCTGAACTTCAGCAGCACGGCTCGCCTTTGCCTCCCTCCCTGGATAGTGCGAGAGTTCTAGTCTCACAAGAAGGGCTTAGGAAGAGAGGGGGGAACATTAGGTTATTTAAGGCAGGGCTCCCCAACCTTGGGCCACCAGATGTTCTTGAACTTCAACTCCCAGAAGTCCTGGCCAGCAGAGGTAGTAGTGAAGGCTTCTGGGAGTTGTAGTCCAAGAACATCTGGAGGCCCAAGGTTGGGGACCACTGATTAAAGGGATGTTCCCCCCTTTCCCCACCCTCTTCCTTTCCTGGCACTCACCCATCTGCCCTTTATTCTAGTGTGAGTTCATCTGGCCGCCTACGGGGCCAGATAGGAATTTTTGAACCATATCCTGATTGGCATCTGGATGCAGGGATTTTTCGCCTATCCCACACTGGAACAGATGCGCTGGCATGTTTAGAGGTGGAAAATTGGTCACACTGGCGGGGAGTGTGGATATAACAGGGTTTGTTGGTGAGGCTCATTGCAATCTCAAGTAAGCTATAGCCCATCTGACCTCCCAGCGCTATGGATCATGTGATTACAGTGCTTGGGGGGGAAAGATGTGCTGGGGCCACACCCGGACCAACAGTGAACAAGGAGAAGCTGGCTTGAGGCCTGGGGGTGGTCAAATTGGGGTCAGCCGGGTTCTGGCTGTCTTTAAGACCACTTGGGGCCAGGGACTCGCCCATTTGTTGCTTAAGGGGTCCTTTGAGACCTCTGTGCTCAAACCTGATTCCGCACTATGGCACGACCCCCCTTTGCCAAAGGATGGCAACATTAATTATGTTTAATAAAGTGTGGCCCGTGATTAACCCATACTTCTTGTCTCGCGTCTTCATTCCGGGCTTGGGAGGGCAAAGCCTGTTTAGAGACAGCTGTGTGGAATATGTGTCTAGATATAAAACAGAATATATTTACTTTTCCTGTTTTCAGTAGATGCTAACCCCAACACCTTAGAATCTGATGCTTAAGGCTTGGGGAAAGGTGTTTCATATTAACAACTGGGCTCCTAAATGATGAAGCACTATAAATAGGTTTCCTGTTTTAAAGGAGCTGGTGTGAGATAACATGATTTCTGAGCGAGTTTATCACTGCAGGCATTCACACAACGAAAACAGTGGTGCTTGTTAAATGAATGTTCTCTTATCCACTAGAGATATTCTTTACACAGCTGAAAAAAGTGTAGGTGGCAAGTGCTGTTTCCATGGAAACCAGTGTCTTGCTGCCTGGCTCATTTTTCGCCCACTTAAAGAAACAGTATTTAACTGAATTCTATGTGAAAACAGTCTTGCTTTGGGGAACATCTTTTTTTTAAAATGCCTGTGAAGAAATATAGATTCAAAGAAGCATGAATCAGAGTGTTCACCAGACAGTCTTTCAAACAACCTAATACGTGATACATAGAATCATAGAATAAATGGGGTTGGAAAGGCCCTACAAGGCCATCTTAAAGAATTAAATTTGTTTTAGTCACAGACCAATGCCAGCCATGTTAAAGAGTTTTTCCTGAAGCAGTTTAACAGATTTGGTGAAGAAGAAAAAGAGGGGGGGGGGACAAAAAACAGAAAACAAAACAAAAAAAGAAAATGCTTTAAATATAGAGGTGGGGAGAATAGCACAATTGACTGTTATCACTGAGGGAGCCATGTAATCAGCCTGGCTAGAATTACAATTTACAGTATAATAAATAGAGGACAAACTGTCTAGGCAGAAAGACAGAGGGTTGGACAGTTTAGTTGGAAGATGTTCTGGGAGGTAGAAAAGCTAGTGTGGCTTAGAAAGGGGGGAAAGGTAGTATTTGTAATAAAGGGGGGATAAGACTCAGTAGACAGAGGAAGAGAAGGCTTAGGTTAAAATAAAGGAGATAGGGGATTAACAGGGCCAGATGAATGAAACTGCAATGGAAATACTCTTAGATTCCAAGATGAAGAAGCAGCAGTATTACTTAGCAGAGTGGAAAGAGGGAAAGAATGCAGATTTGAAAGGATATAAATCAGGGTTGCTAAGAAAGTAAGAATGAGTGCATTTCCCAAACCTTTTTGGAAGATTTGCATTCACTAAGCATCAAGTTGTGGCAGGAGGGGGAAGGGGAGGAGAAAATAGCATCTGAGATATCTGGCCAGACTTCTTCCGACATCTCTTGCTCTCTGTAATGAGGACAGACTCCACTGGAGATAAACATTCTGAGAAAGGGATGTGTGTTCTTAACATTTATCTTAGTACAGTGGTGCCCCACATAGCGACGATAATCCATTCCGGAAAAATCGTCGCTATCTGGATTTGTCGCTATGCGAAAAGAAAAAGCCCATAGGAATGCATTAAACCCCGTTCTATGGGCTTAAAACTCACCGTTATGCGGAAATCCTCCATACGGCCACCATTTTTGCTGCCCGGTATGCGAGGAATGGGCGCGAAAACACTGCGGGTGGCCATTTTTTTTCCAGCTGCCATTTTGGAACCACCGATCAGCTGTTTTTAAAACATCGCTATGTGAAAATTGGTAAGCAAAACAGCTTACCGATCATCGCAAAGCGATGTTTTACCATTTAAAACATCGCAATGCGATCGCTTTTGCGATCGCAAAAAATCCGTCGCTATGTGAATTCGTTGTTAACCAAGGCACTCGTTAAGCAAGGCACCACTGTAAAAGGATTAGGTGGAATGAAGTAACTGCACTTCAGAATACATGCTATTGTAATACTTTAAAGGTCTATGGGGCTATTTGCTTACTAGATGTATATTGATGAACCTTGCAAACACAATTTCACAAAATGAGGCTTTTCTTATTCACAATAATATAACAGAGAACATGAACAATTGTAACAACAGAAAAAGCTCCAATTTGTGCATCCAAGACCTTGACAACAGCACCAATACAGAAGTTGCTGTAGAATTGCAAAGTTCAAGTATCCCTTTGAATTTAAATTCTGGCAAAAATCCAAGACATTTTCCACAACTGGGTTGGGTGTCCCTAACATAGCAAAATCTGCCCCCCATGTGTAATCTTCAAAACCTGAAAATAAAATTATCAATACAGTTGTATGAAATTCATGAATTCACTATATAGATTCACTCCTTCAACACAAACATATAGGTTATACCTTGACCAAGTAGGCAAAGACCTAGTATTCTCAATGGCAACAACAGCTCTGGCCTCTTCAGCTCTACCGCCATTCCTGATTTAAGCCTCTTACTCACAGCCCTGCTCTTTTACTCCCACCTCTTTGAGCTGAACCAATATTTCATAACGGTTACACTAGCAATTCAGAGACAAGAGCTTTTGATATTTCCCTCAGCTGCTGTTTACCCTCCCCCTGCTAGTTGTTGAAGCGGGGGAGGTGATAGGCTTATGTTTGGAATTAATAGATTATGATTTTTCAGATTGTAAGGGTTCATTTATACTCCCACGGAGCTGAACCAATATTTCATAACGGTTACACTAGCAATTCAGAGACAAGAGCTTTTGATATTTCCCTCAGCTGCTGTTTACCCTCCCCCTGCTAGTTGTTGAAGCGGGGGAGGTGATAGGCTTATGTTTGGAATTAATAGATTATGATTTTTCAGATTGTAAGGGTTCATTTACAAACTCAGCAATTCCCAAAATTCTTCTATATCTTTGTTTAAAAAAGACATGGATGAAACTTTAGTTGACAAACATATAGAGCTTAAAAATGAAGGGGGAAATAAAAAGTGGAGTTGGATCAAAATGTTCACATAGGGCCCAAGGAATGGCAGTCTCTAAAACTGTTAGTAGTAAAGAAACAACTCTGAGGTCCGTTGGCCGTAAAGTCATAGCACTGGCATGTCCCATTAACAAGAAGATTCCTGTGTTTTAAAAGTCTGCAGAAGGGGACCAGTTGACCAATTCTTAAAGCCCAGCTACTGCTAAGAACCAGTAAAGTTTGTGGAAGATCTAGCCCAGTGGTTCCCAATCTTGGGTCCCCAGAAGTTCTTGAACTCCCAGAAATCCTGGCCAGCATGGCTAGTGATTAAGGCTTCTGGTAGTTTTAGTCCAAGAATATCTGTGGACCCAAGGTTGGGAAGCACTGATCTAGCCAATTCGTTGGTTGTAGATGTGAGCTGTTATCTGATAAGAATGGGCAGGAAATAATTAGAAGTTGGGGTGTTGAAGCCTGAAGACCCCTTATAGCAGGGGTCTCAAACTGTGGCCCTCCAGATGTTCTTGGACTTCAACTCCCAGAAATCCTGGCCAGCAGAGGTGGTGCTGAAGGCTTCTGGGAGCTGTAGGCTAAGAACATCTGGAGGGCCACAGTTTGAGACCCCTGCCTTATAGCATACCCGCTGCTCGTTCTTCATCTTAAGAAACTGGTGCACTTTTAAGAGCTGCATGGAAAGAAATATTCGTCAAGAAGTAGTTTTCAACCATTAAAGCAGCACTGTAGTATGGAATTCTCATCTCTTAAACTCACACAAAATCTAAATGGTTTGGGCCCAAGCTATTTCAAGGCCTGCATCTCGCTTTGTGAGCCTGCTCACGTTTCAAGATAATAAAGAGAGGTATTTCTCCCAGTCCTTCCACCTTCACGGGTGTGTTTGGTGGGGACAGGAAGAGAGACTTCTCTGTTGCTACTCCACAGCTTTGAACTCCCTCTGACGGGAGGCCAGGCTGTCCCCATTTTTGCAAGCAGGCAATGACCTTTCTCTTCAGGCAAGCTTTCCCTGAGTAACTAGATGCCTAAGTGGGTGTTTTTTAAATGGATTGTTGTACCTTACTGCTTTGAATGAATTTTGGTGTTGCTTGTGTTTTTTGTATGGCATTTGTTTGATCCTTTTTAGTATATGTATACTCACTTTTGTTAGCTTTCATATTGTCTCTCAATGATGTAAGCTGCCTTGATCCTTTTAAGGAGAAAGGCAGGGTAAAAATGTTTTAAATAAATAATAAATAAATATTAGAAATGCACCAAGAAATCCAAAGGTGACATGGACATTCAAGATGTGGATCTGATAAAGAGGATCCTGTTACTAGAGCCTAGTGGCGCAGTGGTTAAACTGCTGTACTGCAGCTAAAACTGTGCTCACGACCTGGGGTTCAATGCCAGGTAGCTGGCTCAAGGTTAACTCAGCCTTCTAATCCTTCCGAGTTGGTAAAATGAGTACCCAGCTTGCTGGGGAGGGGGCAATGTGTAGCCTGCATAATTAACTTGTGCTTGAAGCGCTATGGGGCCGTATATAAGCAGCACGCTTTGCTTTGCTTTGCTTTTACTTTGCTGGAGATTTTTGGAAGCTGCAAATAACTGGCCAGGTAGAGCTAGTGCAGTAGAAAAATGGTTGTCATTTTTCTTTTTTTCTTTTCTTGTATGCCAGAAAAGGCCCAAGAAGGAAATGAATCATGGAAAGCAAAGAATTAAGAAAAGAGGAGTGATGGGAAGAAAAAGTGCTGGGGAAGGCAGATTTCAGCTCTTGATCTGTATTGTCCTTCTTAAGATAATTCCTGGACTGTGGTTTTTATGTATTGCCAATGGGCTAGATTCAAACTGCTGACATTTAATGTATATGGTTGGGGTTTTATATAAAATGAATGCATTGTATCATAGCAGGATACTCTACTTTTAAGAAAAAATATAATAATTCCTCTACAGAGGAAAGGTGGGGTAGAAAATAACTAACTAAATAAGTACATTTTACATATATCTTCAGTTTTAATTTCAATTCTTTTTGCCTTGGTTATTCTCATTAGTCAACGGAGCTACAAGCAGCCAGATTTCCACTCCTAAATCAACAAAATCTTCTAGCTCTTCTCCAACAAGCCCAGGAAGTTTTCGGGGGCTTAAGGTATGTTTTTACTAGTTTTTTTTTACTTTCAACTTATAGATCTACTACTACTTTGAAATATTTATATTTATTTATTTATTTTATATCCCGCCTATCTAGTCAATTAAGACCACTCTAGGCAGCTTTGACTTTGAGGTTGCAGATGTATGCTAGTTTAATACTGTAGAAGAAGAGGCATTTTATAATCCATTGAAATGTATAGTACGGTACATGGAAATAATTACAGAGGTTTAGGTAGAAAATGCTGTAATAAACAAAATAATGTGCTATAACTTCTGTTTTCTTCACTGGCTAATACTGTATGTGTTCAGTACTTAGAGACGTTTTGTTAGTCCCCTCAATAAGCTCTATATTGTTGTTTATTTTTAATTAGTTAATTATACCATTTATTTATTTATAAATACTGTACACACCTGGTAGCTTATAAGTTCTGAAAACAAGAGGAACATAAAGTATAATAAGTTAAAATATAATAAAACCAAGTCCAAAAAATAGAAATTGTAAATATGTCTCAACTAGAAAAAATATATACAATGTTATATACAGTATTCCATTTGACTTCTTTCATTCATTCTACACCTTAAATGCAATATTTTAAAGAATTAGCTTTGTAAGTCCATGTTGGTGTGTATGCCATTACTTGATATATCATTAAAGATGATCAGTTAAGAAAAAAATATGTCAATGTTAAAATTCAGAATGTTGATGGTGTCTTCTAAATGATGTATTGTGTTTCTGTAGAATGCAGATGTTTGGATATAGGCTGCAGCTGTGCTTTGTTCATTTGGGATCTGAGTAATCTTAACTGATATATCTGAACTAGAACACAGTTTATAACAATACTTGTGTCTGTATCTGGAATGTATTCCCAACACTCATGTTTCTGGGAAGCTGTCCAAGAGAAATTTATGCAGTCCAAGAAATTAACCTCCCAAATAGAACCATTGTGGTTTAGATGTCACCAAACTGACAGATACTCTGTAGCTGCTGCAATTGTATTGTATTTTTGTTCACTTGTCCAAGGGAAATTAATTTCTTCATTTTGTGGCATTTCTCTTTTGTTCTTTGCTTAAAAGGTTTCCATAGGATTGGTTTTTTGTTTAGGTTAATTTTATATTTTATGTTGATTTCCTTGAATTATGTTCAGGGTGCATTTTGCTTTCACTAGCCTATTTTGTTTGTGTTCATTGACTGCAGTCTCAGGAAGATTCAGACTTTGCTCAATTTTTCCAGCATAGCATGATGTAACAATTGAAGGACTTTCCGGATGGCAGGGTAGTTTGTTAGTTCATTGCAGTTAACATGACAAAAAGTCTTGAGGCACCTTAATACCTTTGGGTAGAGTGGGCGGCATATTAAATAAATAAATAAATAAATAAATAAATAAATAAATAAATAAATAAATAAATAAATAAATAAATAAATAAATAAATAAATAGGGGCTGTTGCGGAAACTACAGGTGGTGCAGAATGCGACGGCCAGACTTCTCAGTGGTGTGAAAAGATATCAACATATTTCGCCCACTCTGGCCGCATTGCATTGGCTGCCCATCC